AAGTTTGAGATCCTGGCATGATAGTAGTAGCTCAATGGAGTTTGTTTATATTGTCAAATTTTGATATTTAATGCTTCCGTTCAGGCCCCATATATTATATATAACAGGTTAAGTGTTCGTTTCAGAAATGGTCATGACCAAACTTCTAGGGGCAGGTTTGGGGTGTGACAGGAAATTAGCCAAAACCTGCGCTTTGATTGAAGTCCTTGGTCGGAACTAAATATTATACTGTTTGAACTCGACAGCCTACTTGGAAATACGACCTGAAGAGTCAGCTTTATGTAGGACTTGTTTAAGTGGAAAAGCTGAATAAACGATGATAAGATAGGCCAAGAAGTAATGGCGCAATTTATGGGATGAAACGACCAATGCCAGGAGTAACTTTTCTAGGGGCAGGTACCTAGTTTCTGCGTTGAGTAACGTTTTGCTTACATAGAAGACTAGTATTTGCCCATTTGAAGATTCTTTTATGAGTGCCGAACTTACAGCATGATCGGAAACTGTTAGGTACAAGTACAACCTTTCCCCATTGATAGGGCTGGTGAGTAGAGGTGGTTTGGCTAGGTAACCTTTTGGTTCTTGTAGAGCATGGTTGCATTCTGGGGTCCATTCGAATCGATTCTTTCTCTTGGTCAGTTGGAAGAACGATCGGAGGATCAGCTGATGAACCTATTGAGTGCTGCTATCATCCCAGTGAGCATTTGGATTCCTTTAACAGTTGAGGACGGGGTTAGGTTGATCAATGACTGGATTTGATCGGAATTGGCTTGTATTCCTCAATTAGTGACAATATACCCTAGGAACTTTCCTGATCCAACCCTAAACATACATTTTGATGCATTGAGCTTCATCTTGTACCTATGGAGTACCTCGAAGGTTTCATGAAGGTCATCGGGATGATGTCTAGCTTCCTCTGACTTGATTACCATGTCGTCGATGTATACTTCAAGGTTCCGTCCGATTTCACTATGGAACATTTTTGGAACCAACTGTTGGTACGTTACTCCATCATTTTTAAGACTGCAGGGCATTACTTTGTAACAGAATAACCCAATAAATGTGATGAATGAGATCTTTTCCTGATCATCCGTATGCATCGCAATCTGGTGATATCCCCGATACACATCCAGAAAACTCATTCTTTCGTCTTCAAAGGTTGCATCCACGAGTTGGTCAATTTTTGGTAGAGGAAAGCTATCATTAGGGCATACTTTGCTTAGATCGGTGAAATCTACACACATCCTCCATTTGCCATTCTTTTTCTTGACGACCACAGTGTTGGACAACCACTCCAGATATTGAACTTCGTGAATAGCATTTGCCTCAAGTAACTTAGCTACCTCCTCCTTGACGGCATCGACATGTTGAGGTGTAGACCTCCAATTCTTCTGTATCACCAGTCGTGAGTTCGGACTCACGTGTAATTTGTGGCTTGTCACCCTTGGGTTGATGCCCTCCATTTCATAAGGTGACCAGGTGAATATATCCTTGTATCAAAGTAGGAAATCCATCAGTTGACTTTTCTTTTTTGGGGAAAGATTTTTACTATGAGGAAAAACCTGTCTTCATCTTCGGGATCGATTAGTATTTTTCTGAGTTCTTTGGCACTCGTAGCTCCAATCTTCCCCTCTTGAATCATTTTTTCGAACTTCCGGTGGTGAGTTGAAGATACTGCCATACATCGTTTTGCCATCGTCTGGTCCCCCCGAATGGTCCTGACAATGTTAGCTTCTGGGAAGCATAGAACCTAGTGGAAGGTAGATAGAACAGCTTCCATATCGTGGAGGCAAGTTCTACCCATTATGGCATTATAAGGAGATGACACGTTGACCACCTAAAACTCGACTTGGTGGACTGTTTCTTCATCCTTAACTAGGAGGAAGATGCATCCTAAAGAAAATATCAGGCTCGAGTTGAAGCCATAGAGTGGAGATTTCACATTAAGTAGGGCTTCATGAGACAACCCTAGTTTTTTTAAGAGTCCGTAGTACATGATTTTGGCCGAATTGCCTTGTTTGATAAATATCCTTTTGACATTGAATTCCCCAATTTGTAGTGTTATTACCAATGCGTTATTATGGGGATGATGGACCTATGTCAGATCCTCATTAGAGAAAGAAATCTTTGTTGATGAACGAACCCTTTTTGCAGCCACTTCTGATAGGGACATAGTTTCTCTTCGGAGTGTTGGCGCTATTTCCCGACTTATGCACCTTTTTGTTGGAACCGAATAGATCATATTGATAGTTGCAGCGGGTTGTGTTTCCCCAGCTTTGTCTTACTATTATCCTTTCGATCTGTGGACGAGTCAACATAAGATCGTAGATGTCCGCTTTGCACCAATTTCTCCAGGAATTGCTTTAGCACTTTGCAGTCCTCTATGAGATGTCCATGGTCTTTATGGTCAGAACAACGTAGTCTTCGATTGTGAAGTGATGGATCCCTGAGCATCCGGGGCGACCAAAAAAAGTACGATTCATTCTGGATTTTTGACATCAAGCGATATATCGGCTCAATAAAGGTGGTGATAATTGCTCGGAAGGCCTCATTTCGTATTTTTGGCTAACCAGCGATTGCGTTAGACTCCTTTCTTTTATTGTCCGAAGATTTTTTTCTCATCTTTTCATGGAGCCTTAAGTGGGATCCAAACAGGTTTTGGTTCTTCGGTGCCTCTTATGTCATCTTTAATCTTACAATATTGTTCAACTCGCCTCATTAGACTTCCTACATCGGTCGGTGGCTTTTTCATTAGAGATTGTTGAAGCTTGCTCTTGGGTAGCAGTCCTAACTTGAATGAGGTTACTGCTAGTTATTCATTACAGTTATCGATTTCATTATAAGTTGTCCAATTTCTATTGGAATATTCCCGTAGCCTCTCCATATCTTCCTTTTTCATCGTAAGGAGCACATCCACTTCTTTTGGCTGCCGGCTAATAAAGCGTGAGACGAATGCTTACTGCAGCTATGCCCAATCGCTGATGAATCGGGCTTCTAATTTGTAGTACCATCGCAATGCCATTTCTCCTAAACTTAAGGAAAACATTCAACACATGATCGAGCCATTGTTACTCCACAACATCATGGCCTGAGTGTAATGTTGGATGTGGCTGGTCAAGTCCCTTTTGCCATCATACAAGTTGAATTTTGGCGGGGTGAACCTTTTTGGCGGATTCACGCTGTCTATTGTTCAAGAGAAAAAGGATGCTAAATCATCTGGGAAGAGTTTTCGTCTGACGGGTTTTGGACAGCCCCCAGTTCAACCATCGAGCCAACTCCTTAGGTCGTTCTCCGGGTTATCTAAAAAATCCCTTCAAGTGACCTGACGCTTTTTCTGCATTCAATCGGGGTTGTTGTTGGCGGTCTGGCTTACGACCTGATGGTGATTTGGTCGCTTTTGTTGATTGGCGGTTCAGGCTTGTTCGACGGGCCTTCTTCCGGTCACGCGTAGTTCTTCCTTGAGTGCTTCCACTTCCACCATTAGTTGTTCAATAAGTTGGCCTTGTTGGTTTTTGGGATCTAGCGGAACTATTAGCACTGAATTTGCAGGGGCAGCATTGGGATCGTGGCCGAAATTTTCATTAGCCATATTTTTTTATTGGCAAATTTTGGGTGTGAGTTGGTATTTCGTCCAAAGCGAGATGGACACTCATCTTTTCTCGAGTTTTCCACAGACGGAACCAATTGTGGAAGGGTGAATTTTATTCTCCACAGGGAAAGCGAGATGAGCTGCTCCTTTCTTCACTCTGTAGAAAAGACAAACACCAAAATGTCAGTGATCTCTCCCGACAATGGTTGGTCTGGAGGACCCTTCAACAATCAAATTAGAATCTTGTGTGAACATATCAGTTTTCTAAAGGAAAATATCTTTTCTTTTTTGCTTGCCATTAAACAATTTTCTTTATTCCTTTATAGTGTGGATACCTGGTATCGCGACTGTTGGATGGCTGTACCGATCCAATGGTGTTTCATACGTGCAGGCACTGGTCGGGCAAGTGGACAAGTTATCTTGATCTGCCATTGTCAGAGTTACTGTATTATAGATGCCTAGATTTAGTTCGGGTTTGGGCACTCATTCTTGATCGTTGGATTTATCTTATCGGATGCTCGGGTTGTCAGAGTTGGTTGATTTTGTATCATTTCTCCTGTTGGTTTTGATCTCTATCGTTGATTTCTATCTGATCCAAGGGTTTTCCTTCATGTTTAAGGATCTCTTTTCTGAAAGCGATCCTATTTAAATCTCTTATCGCGTGACTTTGTTTTTTTTACAATTGTACTTTCTAAGGACTTAGGCCTGGAATTTGTCTTGGCTGGACAAAAATGCTTTGGGCCACGTTTTAACTTGCTTGGGCCTTGCGCTTGAATTTTTACACTACAACAAAATGTACCTTTGGCGACCAAAATTGGCGACTAAAAATTTAGTTAGTCGTCAAAAGTTGTGGAATTAGCGACCAAAATTTTTTTTAGTTACCAAAAGTACAATATTTAGCTACTAATTTTTTTTAGTCAGGGTCTATTGATTATTGGCGACTAAAAAAGAATTTAGTGGCTAAAAATAAAAGAATTGGCGACAAAAAAAATAATTTAGTCGCCGTATATTGAGTTTTGGCTACTAAAACAATTTAGTCACCAAATATAAAATAAAAAAATATTTTTTATCTTTGGCAACCAAGAGTTTGGTAGCTAAAAATATATTTTTAGCGACAAAAAAATATTTTAGTCGTCGTATATTGAGTTTTGGCTACTAAAATAATTTAGTCGCTGAATATAAAATAAAAAATTATTTTTTATCTTTGGCGACCAAAAGTTTGGTTATTAAAAACATATTTTTAGTGACAAAAAAATATTTTGGTCGCCAAAAAACTAAAATATTTGGAGAGAGATATTTTAAATTCTAAAGGGATTTATAAAATTAATTAGCAACTAAAAATATTTAGTCGCTAATGGTGTAATATATATATATATATATATGTATGGTTTCCAAACCAAATCCAAACCCAAACCCAAACCAAAACCAGCGCCTCTGTCTTTTTCTCTTCAGCGTCTCTCTCTCTCTGCCTCTCCCTCTTCACTGCTCCTCTCCCCTCCCTCAAGGTTGCCGGCAACCGAAGCACCAATTAACCTCGTTGTTGGTCACCGTTGCCTGAGATCCATCACCCAAGGAAGCTCGATCGGTGGCTCCTCCCGCGCAGCTCCTCGCATTGCAAGGTTTTTTTGTTCCTCTCTCTAATCGACTTATATATATATATATATATATGTATATATAATAATCTCTACACTGATTGTGAGATCAATTATTGTTGCTTAAACATATCGATCTGATCCATTATTGATTTTAATTTCTCTGAGAATCGTTTCAGATTGCCTATTACATGTTTGTTTATATGCCAAACTCAAGTTGAAGTTCACATATGTGGTTTTGGTCTGCAGCCATTTCAGCTCTCTCTCTCTTTGTCTCCTGGTTATGCTTATTAGGAATGGAAGGTGGGCTTGGTGAAATAGGGAGGGGGGAAGAGCATCATTTAAAAAAGTTGGCGATGACAAAATTATGGTGGAAAAAAAACATATTTACTGTTGGGACTAGGGTCAAAATCTTGGAAATTCTTTGAATGCTTCCAAATATAAAATTCAGTGCACTTGAGTGCGACTTGTTTTGTTTAGTTCATACAGTGTTGAGTTTTTTCTTTTACTGTTGGTTTGTGCTGCTCTTTTAGGTTTATCTAATTTGATTGTTATTTTGCTTCTCTTGTGTAACTTTATGTGTTTATAACATTTATTTGAATGTTAATATCCCTCCAATGAATGAAATCTCTTGCGTGACTTACTATTTTTATTGTTTCTTCTGTGAATTGTGCTCCAGTTCTGCTTCTGGAATGTATAAGATATTCCGCCCTGCTGTGGGGAGGCAGTGAGGTATCAAAATTTATGGTTATTAGGATTCATTGTGTTTTGTGGTGTTAATTAGTACTTTATTATTATTTATTTTGTCATTATGGTTACTAAGTTCTGTAGTATTATTACCTTCATTTTTATTCTTCTTTTCACTCAATCTCCAGGGAGATGCCTCTAGCAGAACTAAAAAGCAAGTATAGAAAAGTTTCATCACTAGAGAAAGCTCATAGTGGTTGGGAAGATGTATATGAAGTTTCATCTAAGCAGGTAAGTAGGATCTTTCCTGAACTTATTCATGCAAGGAAGTCACTTCATATGAACTAATGTAAGGCTTAATTTTTTGGTCAAAAAATTTTGTAGCATTAGTACACAACACTAATGAATAATTAATGTTATTAAATGACCAGGCAAAATAGCAATTCGACAGCACATCCTTCAATATATAATGATTAATTCAGTGTTTTGTCATGTAATTCATTATGGCTGCTATGAATAGCATAACGCTTCACCAAGACCCATTGTCAAAAATCAATTTCTGTTTCCATCTTTAATATCCATTCCTTGTTCATCTTCCGTTCTTTCTCTAGCATTGTTTGGTAACTGTAAAGCTAAATTATATTGTGTTTTACTTTGAAGCGAGTTTGAGTATGGTAAGTTTTATAGCGTTGTGGTGGAAAATTATAGCTGGTTTTTCTTGCTGCAATAATTTTTCTAATTCTGGACAATGGTTTACAATTTAAAAAGGGATTTTTAGCCTGCCTCAGCTCTGTGCATGTTGGCTTTGGGTTTTTTTTTTTTTTTTTTTTTACTTTTTTAATGCATTAGTGTTATTAGTGGTGATAAAGGGGTTATTGGAGGTCAGGTGTCACGACCCAAACCCGCCCCTATGGGTTTAGCACTGTAACTGGCCTGTAATCCGAGATTACCAAAGGCCTGCTTAACAGTAATGCAGTAATACAGAGTACAGGGGCTGGCGGAAGCCAAAACAGTAATTAAAAGATGTCCAATGAGCTGTGACAGTCTGTATGTAAAAAGACTTTTCAATACACATGTACAATCAATGCCAAAACAGTATGTACAATATATACAATCATTCAGGACAGGGACTTAATCCCTATTAGAACAGTACAGTACAACATCATTCAGTCTATATAGTAATTATAAAACAGATACAAAAAGGGAGAAACTAAAACACCCCAAAAGCGCTAGCTTGAAGGACTTGAAACCTCTCAGTGAGGCACAGTGGTTGGCTTAACAAAACTGGAGTTTACCCTGATGCTTCTAGCAACGGTCCGGTGCCTAAACACCTACATATATATATGATCAGTGAGCTAAAGCCCAGTGAATAACATATGCGTAAAGAAGTTAAGAATGAATGTCCTTCCAATATTGAAAACAGTAATTTAAACAGTATATCAGTCATTCAGTTTGTGACTCATATTTCAGGCCATAACAGTCATTTAGAAACTATAATAGTCATATGTGGTACATCCAATAGCAAAACAGTACAGTGGGTCTTATCAGACCGAACAGTCAGTTGATGGCCATCATATCAGTAAACAGTAGTGGTTCCAACATGGGAACCGATAGAGATCTCTGTGACAGTTGCAGTATAGTACAGTAACAGTAGGTTGCTATGGATGCCACGAATACAGTTCACAAATAGGACATCATTCATTCAGTAACAGTATCATTTCAGAAAACAGTACAGTTCAATTGTTCAGAAGATAATCATTATTGAACATATCTTTATAACATTGTTACTCACAGAGTTCCGGGCTACAGATAAGCTAGTACGCATCATCAGATGCCAACCCTACACAGTTACAAAGTGAACACACACTAAGCTACACAGTTGGGAAAACAATCACTTAATCCCTATTTTGCCTCGGTGTGGTTCTACATCAATATCCTCATTAAGATGCCTTAAACTAGGCTTAGGAATGCCTAGGATGGAATGAGGATGCAAAGATGCACTTTAAAAATATTTTCAGAATTTTCAGAAAACAGAGGTCCCGCTCGAGCGTGGGTTTCCCCGCTCGAACGTACATGCAAACAAAAGTCTCCACTCGAGCGTAAACTTTCCCGCTCAAGCGTACTGCAAAAGTACTGGATGTGTGAAAATCACGCTTAATGGGCGCTCGACACACGCTCGAGCGCATGACACAAGTACTTGCTCGAGCGTGTAAAACCCCGCTCGAGCGGACTGTAAACACAACAAAAGTGCTAGATACACGAATTTCCCACTTGAGTGCCACTTACCCCGCTCGAGCGGGAGTCCAAAATCTGGAATTTCCAGATTTGAACCTCAAGCTCAAAATCAAGTTTCAATGCAGCAAATTCGATCCTTTTGGGCCAATTTTCTGGAAAACACTTTAAAACTCATAATATAACATGATTCAAAGCTCAATTTGTAAAATCAAGGCCCAAAGGTGAGTCAATTATACATAATTCAAACAAATTCCATGAACATGATGTAAAACATAACATGTATGAATTAAATCAACTTCAAAGCTTCAAAGCAAGCTCAAATGAGTCTAAACTTCCAAAAACATGATGAATTCTTGTACTAGAACCATAATATGAGCATGCATGTAACAATTTCCATGAAAACAACCTCAATATGCTAGAACATGTACATGCATGCATGGATTAAGCTTCAATTCAACATATTAGGACCAATTCTAGACTTAAATTACTAGAGACTCATGAACCATGGAAGAATCAACTCAAATACACAATTAAAAGGAAGAACTCCCTACCTTAAGTCTTGAGTCTAGAGTTTGGAAGCACAATCATGCAAATTTCCTTCAATTCTACCAAGTTTCCAAGCCAAAATGAGATGAAATCAAGCTATCTCCCTATTCTCTCTCTCTCTCTCTCTCTCTCTCTCTCTCTCTCTCTCTCTCTAGTCGGTTTTGCTTAGAAATGGCTGATGAAATGAAATGGTAGTGCCAAACAAATGAATCAAATACATAGCCTAGAGTTGTCCACTAAGTGGCAATATTGAAAATAACCCAATTAATGTAATTTAACATTATTTAAACCAATTTAATCATACCAAATCACATGTCAAATAAATATACCATAAAATCACATTAATTCTAATTAACACAAAGCACTAATCAATTTCAAATTCGGCTGTCGATAAGACTTTCAATTTGCAATTTAAAGCATAAAACATGAACAGATGCATTTAACAGTCAACAGATAGAAATGCAAATAACACAATATATTCATGCAATTAATTCGGAATTTCAGTCTAATCAGTTACTTATCCAGTTCAGTCACAGTTTAGCAGTAAGCAGTGGTGAGGGTTATTACAGTCTCCCCTCCTTATAAAGAGTTTGGTCCTCCAAACTCGAATTACCTTCATTATGGAAGAAAAACAGGATTCAGTGGAAACAGTTCAGGATATCTCTTGATCATATCCTCTTCCCTTTCCCAAGTGGCATACACGCCACCATGGTTTTGCCAGTCAACTTTCACTAACGGAATCTCTTTGTTTCTCAACTTCTTGATTCGTCTGTTCACAATCTGAATAGGTCGTTCTTCATAAGTGTAGTCATCGCTTAGCAATACACGGGTAGGCTCAATCGCATAGAAGGGATCCCGAAGGTAATCCCTCAACATTGAAATGTGGAACACGTTATACATGTGCTCCATTTCAGGAGGAAGCGCCACTTGATGCGCCACCAGATTGATTTTCTCAATGATCTCATACGGTCCGACATATCTCGGCGCTAACTTGTCTTTAACCCCAAAATGGGTCTGACTCTTCATCGGTGTCACTTTTACAAAAACATGATCACCTACTTCATACTCTCTGTCTCGCCTTCAGACATTTGCATAACTTTTTTGTCGGCTCTGTGCGGTTTTCAGTCTCTATTAAATCAATTTCACTTTTTCGGTGGTTTCCTGAACAATCTCGGGCCCAAGCAAAGGCCCATCTCCAACTTCTGCCCAGCAAATTGGAGATCGACATTTCCTGCCATATAAAGCCTCGAAAGGCCCAATACTTGAATGGAAGCTGTTGTTGTAGGCAAATTCAGCTAAGGGTAGATGACTTTCCCAATTTCCCTGGAAATCATGAACACACATCCGTAGTAAATCCTCCAGAGTCTGGATGGTTCTCTCTGACTGACCATCTGTCTGAGGATGGTAGGCATTACTCAGTTTCAATTCAGTACCCAATGCAGTTTGCAGGCTTTGCCAAAATCTCGATGTAAACTTCGAGTCCCTATCAGAAACAATGGACACAGGCACTCCATGCAATCTAACAATCTCATCAATGTAGAGTACAGCCAACTTGTCCGCATTATAAATTGTTTTGACAGGTAAGAAATGAGCAGATTTAGTCAATCTATCAACAATAACCCAAATTGAATCTATACCTTTACTGGAGCGAGGTAACCCAACAATAAAATCCATAGTGATATGTTCTCATTTCCACTCTGGTATCGGTAAGGGTTGCAGTAAATCTGCGGGTCGTTGATGTTCGGCTTTAACTTGTTGGCAATGAAGACATTTTGACACAAAATCAGCAATTTCTTTCTTCATTCCCGGCCACCAGAAATTCAATTTCAAGTCTTGATACATTTTCATATTTCCTCGATGGATAGACAATTTTGAATTGTGGCCCTCTTGCAGAATTCTTTTTTCAGTTCAGGATCACTCGGTACACACAATCTTCCCTGAAATTTCAACACATTATTCTCAAATTTGAAATCTGGCCTCGGTTTGGATTCTCGTTCTTCGATGATCTTCTTCAAGAAGTCATCCTGTTACTGTTTCTCTTTAATCTCTTCAATCAGGGCCGGTTGAGCAGAAATAACAGCTAAGGTTCCACCTTGTTCATGCAAAACAATCTCAATTTCAAGTCTCTCAAGGTCACATAGTAATTCTTTCTGCCCGGTGAGTAAACAGGCCAAATTTCCAATTGATTTCCGACTCAATGCATCGGCAATGGTATTAGCTTTCTCGGGATGGTACAAAATTTGCAAATCATAATCTTTAATCAGTTCTAACCATCTCTGCTGCCTCATGTTCAGTTCTTTCTGTGTGAAGAAATACTTTAAACTTTTGTGATCTGTGTATACTTCACATGTCGCCCCGTAAAGGTAGTGACGCCAAATTTTTAGTGCAAACACCACTGCAGCAAGTTCTAGATCATGGGTCGAGTAGTTCTTCTCATGTGGTCTCAGTTGTCGGGAAACATATGCAATAACTTTCCCATTCTGCATAAAAACACATCCCAAACCCTTATGAGAAGCATCACTAAACACAGTATAACCATCTGTACCTGAGGGTAAGGTGAGAATCGGTGCAGTCACTAGTCGAGTTTTCAACTCTTGAAAAGCTGATTCCCTCTGATTAGTCCAGTCAAATGATATCCTCTTCTGAGTCAGCTGTGTCAATGGTAGAGCAATTTTGGAGAAGTCTTTGACAAACCTTCTGTAATACCCGGCTAAGTCTAGAAAACTTCGGACTTCGGTAACATTTGTCGGTCTAGGCCAGTTCACTACTGCTTCAATTTTCTGTGGATCAACTGAAATTCCATCTTTACTGATTACATGCCCCAAAAACATAACATTGTCAAGCCAAAATTCACATTTAGTCAGTTTAGCATAAAGTTTCTGTTCTCTTAGGGTCTGTAGGGCAATTCTCAAATGATGTTCATGTTCCTCCATGCTTTGGGAGTAAGTTAAAATGTCATCTATGAATACAACAATAAAGTCATCAAGGAACGGTTTAAAAATTCGGTTCATAAGGTCCATAAATGCAGCAGGTGCATTGGTAAC